TGAAGGCAGTCAAGCTCCTTACCATTACCAGTGGGAAATGGGATACCAGTCACTGACGGCACACGGTGGCATCACAATCAAGCCACATATCACCTGGTTGATTATAATGAAACAGTGCCCGGAAGGACCATGTGGCTGCTGTCCTTAACTGCTGTGGCAGCAAAGGTGATTATGAGGACTGTGGCCTGGAAGGGATTCTTTTGGGGGCCACTGGTTTGCTCACCAAAAGGAAATGGCAAGACCGGGTCTTTAAACTTTCAGCCTAAGTCATGTTCAGAAGCCCGGGGACATTACATGACTGGCATGAAATAATCTTATAGCTGTGCGGCTGATATAGTTAAAGACTGAACCCATCACTGAAATGTACGTGTTGTGGAACGACATTGGAAGTTGAGTTCACAGCCTCAGGAAATCTTTCATGTGGAAGAAATGGCCCTGATTATGAAGGAGTTGGGCCAAAGACGTGGAGACCTCTGGGTGGGCTCAAACAAAGTTGACCTGGGTTTCCTTGTGAGCAAAATCAGTCTAGAATCTGTGGAGAGGAGGCTTCCCATGTTTCAATGTCCTATAATAATCTCACCCAGAGCACTTGTCTTCCAATGGGATGGCAGTGCTCCACAAAGTCCACACCAACCACCCTTGTTAGCACTGGCCCCATGTGGCCCCGTGACTACAGCCAGATCAGCATGCTGTGGGCAGTGACCTAGGAGGAAATAGCTTATTCACCCAAAGAATTGCAAGTGGTGCTCATTTATGCCAGCAGATACCCAGGAAATACATGTGGGAAGGAACCTAAGGGCATTGGAGTAAGGAGGATGAGATACGATTGTTCATCTGGTGTTTATTGACCTGGGAGCACTTTCCAGAATGCCTATACTTAACATGTTATTTTGTGCCACTGAATGTGGTTTTGCCAAGTTTCTGGGTTGGTTGGCTAAGCATTGAACTCATTGGTAGCCTATAATGAGACTGAGATGTGAGAATGTCCCTGGCATTGAGTAGAGAAAGCAAGCCAAAGACTTAGATGGGGATGCTGGAGCAGATCTATCACACATGATGTGGACACCCACCACCCGCTGACATCGCCCAGAAGACATACCTTTCAAGAAGGCATGGAGAAACATTGGCAAGGGAAGCATCAGCATCCTCGGTTAGCTCTGCAGTCCCCAGTCTCCTCCCACGATGGTGGGAGACATGAGATGACGTTCTTGATTCCAGGGGGAATAACGGGTTTCCAGATATTTGGGAAAGTGGGAGAAGTAAAGTCAAAGCTAGAGGAACAGAAGAGTCTCACTCGTGGTTTTTGAAAGCAAAAGGGAACTATATTTTATGCAGCAGAAAAAGACAATTATCATATAATCTCATTGATATGAGGACGTTGAGAGGCAGTGGGAGGTCGTGGGGGTAGGGAGGGAAAAAAACAAGACAAGATGGGATCAGGAGGGAGACAAACCATAAGAAATTCTTAATCTCATGAAACAAACTGAGGGCTGCTAGGGGATGGTGGGGTAGGGAGAGGGTGGCTGGATGATAGACATTGGGGAGGGTATGTGCTATGGTGAGTGCTGTGAAATGTGTAAGCCTGATGAGTCACAGACCTGTACCCCCGGGGAAAATAATTCATTATATGCTAATTTTAAAAAGAGAACTATTTTTGTATATGTATATAGCAAAGTTCCAGTGGTCTTCCCTTCTATGAACTTGTGGTATAGGAGGTTTCTGATTTTACTTTACACCACGTGCGGAAGTTGGGAGATTTCTATCTCCAGGATGAAGACAGGGATTGCATGGATGAAAAAAAGAGGAGACTTTATTATGGACTACTTCAAACATACATTAAAGCAGAAATAGTTTAAGGGGTCCTCATCCCCCAGCTTAAGCCATTAGCAACTTACGCCATTAGCAACCATTACTTTGTTTTGTCTATACCTCCAAGCAACCCATTGTATTTTCCCTAGCTTTATGGACAGATAATTGACAAATAAAAATGATATATACTAAAGGTGCACAATGTGATGATTTGATACACATATACATTTGTGAAATATTTACCACTGTTAACACAACCATCCTTCACATAGTTACCTTTTCTGCGTGTGTGCTGAGAACATTTTAGATCTCATCTCAAAGCAACTTGCAAGTATACGTTACCGTATTTATAACCATTGTCAGCACTCAGCCGGTGTTTTAAAGAAAAACAGTTGTCATATAATTTAATCTCTAAATAATTGCCTTGGGTCTGTTTATAAAAGAACTTTTAAAAATATATAGAACCACAATAAAATAAATACACCTGGAAAAATGAACAATCATTCCTTTATATCATCAAGTAGAATGGATGGTTATTTTTAAAAGGTGAATGATGCCAGTATTCCTTTCTGAAAGCTGGAAACGTGCACCCCTTATTAGAAAATAGAGAGACAACCAATTTAGTAGTTTACGACTAGGACTGGGCAACCTCAAGCATCTTTAATTTGGTTTCCTCCACTGAGAAGCATTTCACTTTTTCCCCCTTGGAGGGGGTCTAAAACTTAGCCCTTCGTACCCCGGGTGGGACTCGAACCCACAATCCCTGGCTTAGGAGGCCAATGCCTTATCCATTAGGCCACCGGGGCCGACAGTGAGAGTCTTGCAGTGGTCCTAGACCAGTCTCTCCGACACCTCCCCGTTGTTCCCACTGGTTACACACAGATTCCTCTGTCCCCCTCCGGCCCCTCAACACCTGCATTCGGCCCGCGCTCGAACCTGGCCCGCCGCTAAAGCATCCCCGGATCACGGAGAGACTGCGCATGCGCAGACGGAGCCCAAAGAACTGGGGCCACAGGTGTGGCTCGGCTCGTTGGACTAGGGTGTGAGCCTCGCTTAGGGTGAGAGAAGCCTGGGGATCAAATCCTGGGCGAGCGCTTTCCTCTCCTTCTGGGAAACTCCGGGTCCGGTGATAACCATTAGCAAGAAGGAGTTGCCTGTGCAAAATGTGGGAGAGGAGAGAAGAGGGGTACCAGCAGCCCTCCTCCCTACACTGCCCCGTAGACAGGAGGTGTTACCTGGGTCCAGCTCTCCGCGGTTTTCAACAGAGCCCAGTGGCCCGAGGTCTTTGCCCTGAGCGCCCTCCGCAATGGCTCTCCTCGGACTCCTGCGTCGGTGGAGCAGGACATTCTCACGGTCAGAGAACCCAGCGTTAGCTTTCCCACCAGAGGACGGGTGTTCTTTCCCATCTCCAAAATGTTCACCTTAATGAATTTCAAACCGCTGAAGCATCACAAAAACGATAAAGTAACACCCCCAAAGGACCCCAGGTCACCTGCGCCTACCTTCCGGAATGAGGTCTCCGGCTGCCACTGCCCTGGCGGTCACCTGGTGGGAGGACGTTACATCACCTAGGTTACCTGGCTTAGCCAGAATCCCTTGGAGAGAAGTCGGGTACGCACGTAAAGACATTTTTTCCCAGGTACAATGATGACCCAATCGTGGGCATATTCTTTAGGTTTAAACTTTTACATATATATGCACACAAGCCATTTAGGTACACTATCATTGTAAGAAATCGGAATAATCTGTTAGATTTTTTAAAACATTTTTTATTGTGGTAAAAATATATATATTTAACGTTAAATTGGCCAATTAAACCGTTTTTAAGTGTACATTCAGTGGCATTAGTTATATGCACAATATCATCCAACCGTCACGACTATTTCCAAAACTTTTTATCAGAAGAACCTATTGTATGTTGAAATGCACCTGTCCTCTCACCTTGGTACCACTCCCTCCTCTCCACCTCATCCCGGCAACAATCCAACCCACCGTCTGTCACAGCTCTGGTCGGCTGAACTATATTGACCTCGTTTGAGGCTCCCGGACTCGATGCGGGTGACAGCAGACACCGCTGGTGCCTTCAGGGCCCCGCAGCACCCTCGGGTCGCGGGGGGTGCAGACCAGAGCCTAAGCTCCCGAGCTCCACGCGTGCAGGAACTCTGGAGCTCGGCGGTTTTCCGGGTGCGGCAGGGCGGGGCGCCGCAAGGGGGGGGCACATTCCAGACCTCTTCAGGTTCCGCGGAGAGTGCAGTCCGGACAAAGGGAAAATATGAAGTCAAGGGAGGAAAAACAAGCTCTGCAGCGACCACGAAGGGACTCGAACCCTCAATCTTCTGATCCGGAATCAGACGCCTTATCCATTAGGCCACGCGGCCCCACCGATGGTGCTTCCGCAGCTTCTCTCATAAAGCTGGTCCAGGCGCCTGTGTAGTGCACCGCAATGCGCATGCTCCTACTGGCGAGGGGCTCCGCCCCTCGGGCCCTGTGTGGGTGGGGCTGCGAGTTGGGGCCCCGGCGCGCAAACGAGTCCCCGCGGCTCGGCGAGGACCGCCCTAACGAACTGTACCGCGAGTTCGAGCCCCGGTGAGGCCGCGCAGGCTCCGGCCCTAACCCGCGCGCGTTGGGAGCTCTTCCCCTACGTGGCTCCAGAACGCGTTCGGTCACAGACTGCCCGCTGCTCCCTCTGCAGCCCCGGAAGCCCCCGCAGCCCCCGCGCTTTCCGCATCACAGCACCGGTCAGCCTGCTGTGCTCTGTCCAGTCCTGTGGTCCCAGCGCGGGCTCCGACCAGCGGGAAAGCCGAGACCGCATCTCCTGCATTCCCACAGCCCCAGCGTGGGGCGCCTGTGGAGTGCGCAAGCTGAGACAGCGACCTGGGCCCCGGCTGACCTCTCTCGGAACATCCAGCCCAGCCTAGCCCGGGCTGGGTTCCTCGGTCCCTGCGCCCGCGGGAAGGCCCAGCCCCCCGCTCCCAGGAGCACAGGTGCACCCTTACGGGGTGCCAGTCCCGTGGCATGCGTTCTCTCCCTGGGTCACCTCCCCGAGGGCAGGCGCTGTTCACGTGCACCCCGATCACCCACAGACCTTTACTGCAGTCCCCCCCCCCTCCGCGCCCCACGCACCACGCCCGCGCTGCGGCGCCCATTTACACAAGAGGAACCAGAACAGGGGATGGAGTCGGCCGCGGCGCTGGGCCGTAGCCCCAGGTGGTCAGAACCCCCGGAGCGGCAGCGGGCGCAGTCCCGCCTGCAGGCAGAGCCGGCGCCTCAGCGAGCTGCGGATCTCCAGGCAGGCCTTGCGGCGCCTCTGGCCATCGGGACCCAGCACCTCCAGTTCACACACCCGGCGGTTGACCTGCGAGGACCCCACTCAACCTGCGCCCAGGACTGCCGGGTCCCTGGGCACCCCGCCTGGAGCCCCGTGGACGAGAAGGCCTAAAATTTCAAGCGCTGCCTTGCCGTCGTGGGCCCTCAGGGGGCCTCAGAGGCCTAACCGTGAGCCCTCTGCTCCTGGCAGATGTGCCCCACACACAGCAAGAAGGGCTCCCCACCCAGCTGGATCCCCCACCCTCCGCTTGCTCTCAGTCTGAGGGGCTTCAGTTGCCTGCAAGCCTGTGAAATTATTACCCCACCCACTCTTACTATAAAGCCTGCAGCCCACAGCCCCTGCTGGTTCACCCGCTCCTGACCGCAACCCCCAGGGGCCCTGCCCGGTGGGCAACCGCCTTCTCTTCCCGTCAGTGAGCAGAAAGAACCCTCTAAGACCTGCTGTGGCTCTCGCCGGGCCCTAGCCTGGCTCACCCACAGGGTGAATGGGAGGTAAGCAGAACACCTGGGCTGGGAGAAGGATGAATCCAGCCCCTTTCCCCAGGTCTCTGCCCCTAACCCCAACACACCTCAGTCAGCAGCTCCAGGAGCTCTCCCCCGGGGTCAGCTCTGAGGACCTCCACCAGAGTCTGGATAAAGTCCGAGCCCTTCTCATCATCCCGATAGGCTACACAGCCTAGGCCAGAGGACCAGGGTCAGAGCATCAGCTTGGGCCCCACCTGCTGCTCTTTGTTGGCAGAAACAGCAGGGTGGTGGGGCGTGCAGACAGACAGGACCCCAGGGGTCATGCAAGGGAATGGTCCAAAGAGCGGGAACTTCTGGCTTCTGGAACAACTTGGTGCTTGATATTCATGGAGTGAATATACAATTTGACCCTGCCCAGCCGTGGCCCCCCTAAAGCCAGCCCAGGCATCTAGCCAGGGCCCCATGTAGCAGGCTTTCCCCAGGCAGCAGGCTTACCCTCAGCAGCTGCGTAGACCATCAGGATGTCCGCTTGGTCAGAGCTCCCTGGAGTGGGGCCCCCGGAGGACCTGCCTGGAAGAAGGAACAACGCACTGACCCAGCCTCCTGGGACTCTCCCAGCCCCAGAGGTCCCCCCAGCTCTGCCTCACGGGCACAAGGGGAAGTCAGTAGAATTAGCCCAGGGTGGAAAAGGCAAATCCGAACTCAAATCTCAACACCACCACAAGAACTCAAGTCTCTCAGCTCTGCCACCTACCAGCTGTGGGACCTTAGGAAAGCTGTCTCACCTTCCTGCCTCCAGGGTTGTTTTGAGGCTCAAGGAGGGGCAGAGGCCTCGATTTTCAGTGGCCCTTGCGGTTTCGGAAGGTTTTCCTTCCCATCCTCTTGGCAAGACCCCGATCAGAGCCCTGGAGAGGCACACCGGACAGCCCTCCCACCAGTCCTGGCCAAGCCCCGGCTCCAGCAGGAAGCCACGCCCACCTTGGGCATCAGCATAGATCTGGAGGACGTCGGCATGTGAGGGGGTGGTTGGTGATGCCTGCAGCCAGCGCCGGAACCAGGGGAGAGCTGTGGGCCCCACACCAGCGTCCCTCTGCCCTGGAACGGAGAGGGGATATGCAGACTCTTTGGCTCAGCAGATACCTGGGGGTGCCCCCAGGGGTCCACAGCCCATCCCCCAGAAATCCAGGGCAGGCCTGCCAGGCTGCAAGGACCCAAAGGATGGAAATGCATGTGCTGAGGGTAAAGTGCTCAAATTCATGGACTTGACTTCTAGGAGAGGCTAGGAGATGGGGCAGTGCACGTGAAGCTCCCATGCTGAGGCCTCCTGGAGAAGGTGGACAGCAAGTCCTGGGAGGCGAGAACCTGGCCTGGCCTTCAGTGGGGAGGGGACGAGCGGGCCCCACTTACCCCCGCGGCAAGCCTGAAGCAGGAAGATCTTGGGGCAGCCCCACAGGGCCCTGCAGCGGCTCAGCTCCTGCACCAGCGCCTCTGGCTGGAACTCCTGCCCGTCAGCTCCCAGCAGCTGGCCTTGTGGCCCCCCATGGGCCATGAGGGCCACAAGGGCACAGCTCACCGGGACCCTGCCGGCATCTAGGCCCTCTCGGAACTGGGCCATCTCCTCCTGGAAAGCCTGGAGTGGGGATAAGATGGAGACCTGGGCCCAGGCTTTGTCCTCCCCAGTGCCTGGTAGCCCTCCAGAGAGGTTTGTCCAGTCCCTGCCCACCCTACTTCCCACCTCCTGCCAGCCTCAGGCCCACAGAGAAAGTCCTTTTTCTAACTCCCCCGCCCGCCCACTGCAAACCTGGCATGGCCTAATTGAAAGAATCATGTGGTCTAGCCTCTTGCAGCTGGGTCTTTGGCCAGGGCAGGGAAAATGCTCCCCAAAGGAAAGAGGCGTGAGGGGAGAGCAATGAGCTGACAGGTGTCTGGGAAGGAAGCTGAAACCCTCGAAGGAAAAGCTGGAGGGTCCCGCTGGGGCCTGGAGCAGAGGAGTGGAGAAGCAGCGGGGGACGCCGCCGGAGCCCGGGAGGCAAGCTCCCCACCCGTGCAGCAGGAAGGATGGAAGCCAGAGCCGGTGAGAAGCCCTGCAGAGAGTCGCTCGGGTCCTGGGGTGGCGGGGGGAGCTTCCTTCAGAGCCCCACCAGAGCTCTGGCCTTCACCTCACCTGGGCCGTAGGGTCTGTCCTTAGGGTGGTCTTGAAGTTCAGGGCCTGACACAGGCCCCGCAGCGCCTCCACATCATGCTGGGCCCCAGGCCGGCCATGGAGCACGGACAGCAGGAGGGCGGCTCTGGTCCCAGACAGGTCATACTGAGCGCTGGGGCTGGGTTCTGGCTACAGATAAGTTAAGGAGCATTCAGAGTGGTCTGAGAACCTCCCAGATCCTCACATCCCCCTATCTCAGGTCTTCCCGAGCCTCTGTCCCACTCACATCTGCTGTCACATCATTCACCCCACCCCATGCCCCTCACCTGGGGATCCCAGGGTTCCACATCCCCCAGGCACAGTGCACCCCTCAAGGAGCTCCGGAGGACTGGGCAGTAGGAGGCCTCTGACTCTTTGGCTGTCCTGTAGAAGACCTGGGGGGACCAGAGAACCCCTAGGGGGCTGCTCCATGGGGGCACAGTTTGGGGAGGGAAAAGGGCACTGGCTTCAGGGAACAACCTGCCTAGCTTGTGGCTACCACAGTCTCTTTGGGGTCCCCTGCCAGAATAGAGGAAGGACACAGACAAAAGAATGGGAGAGCATGAAGGGGATGTCCTAGTTCATGTTCAATGTCATGGGTTTCCCTGGACATGGATGTCCTTAAGTGGATCCTGGCCATGCCATTACCCACACCACGCCCCACCCCAGGGATCAGTGTGCACAGAGCTGGGCGCTTCCTAGAGCACGCTGGGGCCTGTCTGGGAAGGTTCACAGGGTAGCCACTGCCTGGGGAGGACACCAGGCTGGGGAAAGCTGTGGAATGGAGCCTGGGCCCACCCTTCACCTCCAGGGTCACCAGTGGCCACCCAAGTGCCCAGTGAGACTGTTGGGGCTCCAGCCCAGACCAGAACTGGATCATTCACCACTCTGACTACCAGAGACCTGCAGTCTGACGGACAGTCACCGTCTGTCTGTGTGAGTATGAACAGGGCTGGGTAGAAGCAGAGGCGCAGACTTGAGGAAACCAAGGAAGGGCATCAGTGACAGCCTGGTAGGGAACGTGTGAGGCTGGCTGGGACAACAGGAGGGCAAGCCAGGGGGAGTGGCGTGGGCAAAGGTGCGAGCTGAGAAGCGGCTGGGAGTGTCGGGAATCCTGAGTAGGCTGTGAGCAGGGGCATGGGTGGGGCAGGAGGCAAGGGCTCGAGAATGATACCACATGCATAGACAATAAAGACTCAACTGTAAAACAAATGGGGGGGGGGGCGTGTGAATGACTCGAACCGCCAAGCAGGGTCAGGAGAGCACAACAGAGCCTGTGGAAGTGACTGGCACGGACCCCCTCCCAGGGATTCCCCGTCTGGAGCCCCTACCTCCGTCAGCAGCTGCAGCAGAGACCAGTGAGGAAATCGGCCACAGAGCTGGCTCAGGGCAGCAAGGAAGGCTCCGGGCTCAGGGGCAGCTGGGTGTTGAAATGGTACATGGGCCTGGAGGGTAGAGCTCGCCCCTCCTGCCCACCACCACCCCTACTTTGTGCCATCCCAAAACCGGTGTCCCTGCCCAGCCCACTCACCCCCAGGAGTCGTCGAGAGCAGCAGGAAAACTTTGGGGCAGCCCCACAGGGCCCTGCAGCGGCTCAGCTCCCAGACCAACTGCTGGGGCTGCCTCAGCTGCCCACGGGGGGCCACCAAGGCCACGAGGGCACAGCCCACAGGGCCCCCAAGGGCATCCAGCTGCTCCCGGAACCCAGCCAGCTCCTCAAGGAAGCCCTAGGACAAGAGCAAAAGCTGAGCCTGAGTCCAGGGAGGCCCCAGGGTGGGCCTAGGGGTGGGTGCTGGGATGAGGGTGAGGTCAGAGGCAGGTGAGGACTCACCTGGACAGAGGCCTCCCTCTTCTGGCAGCTCTCAAAGCCCAGGGTCCGGAACACACCCTCCAGGACAGCAACAGTGGAGGCTAACACCCCAGGGCTGCTGAGTGTCAGAGCCACCCTGGGACCCTGCAGGCCGTACTTCCCCTGGGGAAGCAAGGGCAGAGTTGGGCTGAGGCAGGGCTCAGCTGAAAGCCAGGAATGGGCTGGGCCAGTCAGTGCCTCCCACTACCTTTCTTTCCAGACTCTGTCTAGCATCTGCCATCTGCGAGGCCACCTGCAGGGTCCCAGCCACCAGGAAGGCCATGGGGGCTGGGTGGGGGCTTCCTCTGAGCACCAAGTGTACCCCCTGCCCCTGGTGCTGATGCCCCAGAACCCAAAACTTGTCCTTTGCCTGAGCTTTGTCCTATCAGCTCTGTTTATGAGCTGAGCTGGACTCTGCTCCTTCCCTGGAACTCTAGGCCATAGGCCCCACTGCCTCAGTCCCCGTACTGTTCTCTGGCTTCAGCGGGCTACTTCCTGGCTGGCATTGGCACACCCCCACCTGAGCCAGGAGCCTATGCCCAATCCTATTCTTAGCTCTTGGCCCACCTCCTATCTGATCCTGTTACACAGGAGTGTCTCCCTTCCGAGCCAGCCACCAGCACCGAGAAGTCCACGCACGGCTCTCACCGCACCCCCCCCCCACTCCTGCACACCACCCACACCACCCGCACATGTGCACATGGCAGCCTTGAGCTCAAGGGTACAGGGAGAGGTAGCACGTGCTGTCTCACAGGCAGAAACCCCCACTGGAGTCATCTGTCCACAGAGGGGCCCCAGGTGCTTCATCTGGGGAGTCCAGTCCACCACAGCGAGCTCAAGATGAAGTAAGTGTTAAATGGGGGACTGGCTGAGGAAGGGCCCTGGGGCGGGAGAGGCTGGCACACAGACTAGGGAACCGAACGTTCTGTCATTGTCTACCCCCCCACCCTTCAGGTGGCCTGCCGAGGCTACTACCAGGCCAACTGGGAAGGGCTCTGTGGGAGCAGGAGGCCCCCTGACTATGCATCCATCAGTTCTGCGCAGGCTCCAGGCGGGGGGGCCTCAGCAGGGGAGGGGTCAAATGTCAAGGGCTGGGTGGGGAATGGGGCCCATTCTGACAGCTGTCCTCTCCCGCTAAGGAGTCTGAGCACCGGGACCAGCTTGGAGTCCTGGATCCCCTTGAACAGCCAGAGCACACTGTGCCATCCGCCCCAGTCACCTCGCACTCAAGCCTGTTCCTTCAGATTGCCATTGAGGAGAAAGGGAGCGGCCCAGTGAAGACCTGCTCAGCTCTCCTATTGTCCTGCCAGGATGGCGAGGGGTGTCATCAGCTGTCCCATCCTGAGCTGCCCCCAGTCCTCGGCTGACACAAGCTGATGAGAGTCCTGAGACTCCCGCCGGTACTTTGGGGCCCAGACAACCTGGAAGCCAAGAGTGGGTCTCCACCAGGTGACCACCCCATGCCAGAGCCACTGACACCCCCAAACCGGGAGCTGGAGAGGTGTGAATTCCGGGACCCCCGCCCAGCAACCACACAAAGAACAGATCAGCCTAGAGAAAGATTCCGTTATTTATTCAACATCCTCTGCTGCCTGCCCTTTGGAGACCAGCAGAGCCGAGCTCCTTCAGAGAGCCCGTGGTGGGTGCCTGCTGTCACCTATCTGCAGACACTGTGGCCAGCAGCACGGAATGCAGTGCTTAGGGAATCAGCGACTGAGCGCTAACAGAGTGCTAGTGTTAAGTATCACGAACCCCACACCTCTGGAGAAGGGGGCCGCCAGGGGCAGCCAGCCTCCAGCAGCCCTGTCCTTGGTCTTCAGTGTGGGCCTCCCATCCCTGGAGCCGCCACCACCCTCACCAGACTGGCCGGGGAGTGCGCTCAGGAACTCGCTTGGAGGCAAGTAGGCTAAGAGCAGAGGCAGCTGGTTTCCGTTCAGGGCCCAACGGTCACGGCCTAGAAATGGGAGGGGATGTGGCTGGAAAGCCTCCTGTGGCCATACCCAGGACCCAGATCCTCCCCAGGATGGGCTGTCCCTCCCAGAGCCCAGCAGCATCCCGCAGGTCATGGCCTGTCCTCCACACCTACTGCAAGGCACAGCTTGGAAGGGCAGCGGGCCAGGCCCCCAGACTCAGCCCACGGGGCAGGGAACAAAGAGCCACGGGGGCAAGCAAGGCCAGGGGCGGGGGGGTTAGGGCAGTGCAGAGGACCCCAGGCCCTGCCCCAGTCCTCACACTTCCCTGATGGCGCAGCCTGTCTCCCACGCAGAGGCCACAGGCCAGGAATGTGCTGCAGCCCCAGGAAAGAAGGAAAATGGCCATGAGGTGCGGGGCTTCCCCCTCCCTGGGAGCAGGGGCCAGGCCCTAGGGCAGGGTGGGCAGCCTGGATGGAGGCCACAGAGCGAGGGTGAAGCCCAGGGGGCCTGCGGTGGCTGCTTCACCCTCGGGAGACCCCCCCCACCCCCACCCCCGGCCCTCGCCAGCCCTCAGCCCACAGGCTGGGCCATCTTGGCGTGCAGGCTCTGGTGGGCGATGAGGTGGGCGCGCTGCTTGAAGCTCTTGTCGCACTCGCCGCAGCCGAAGGGCCGCTCGCCAGTGTGCACGCGCCGGTGGTCCAGCAGGTAGGAGCGCAGTGAGAAGCTCTTGCCGCACTCGCTGCAGCCGAAGGGCTTCTCGCCCGTGTGGATGCGCTGGTGGTCGGCCAGGTAGGCGCTGCGGCTGAAGCTCTTGCCGCACTGGGAGCAGGAGAAGGGCTTCTGGCCCGTGTGCACGCCCTGGTGGCGCAGCAGGTCCGACGAGCTGCGGAAGCTCTTCTCGCACGCCTGGCACTTGTGCGGCTTCTCACCGGTATGCGTGCGCTGGTGGCGCGCCAGGTCCGAGCCCCAGCGGAAGCGCTTGCCGCACTGACCGCAGCTGTGCGGCTTCTCGGCCGCCAGGTCCTGCAGCTGCCGCCGGCGCGCGGGCGGCCGCCCCCTCCGCGCCCCCACTGCGCGGCCCAGAGGCGCCCCCGGCCGGGCCTCGCCCTCCCGAGCCTCGGCTTCCTCAGGGCTCCAGGACGCAGTCACGTCACTGTGGCCGGTGCCACGGCCACCGTCTCCGGCCTGGCCCCTCGGTGCTGTCACCGACTCCTCCAGCCCGGGTTGCTCCCTGTGGCTCCGGAGCCCCAAACCTGCAAGCCGAGAGGGGGCGGCCTCTTCAGTTCCACTGGGTTCTGGCGCCAGAGCTGGGGCGAGGCAGAAACAGGACTCAGGTCCAGAAAGCCCTGGGCTGCACAGACCCCAGCCTCAGTTTCCTCGCCATAAAATAGGGACACAACAAAATGGCCACGGAGAAACACTTCTGAGGCAGAGGCAAGGGGATCCAGTCGGGGCCGATCCTGCCTGCCTAGATGCCTACTAATCACACGCCCAGCCTTCCACAGCCATATCCACACTGGCACCCCACGTCCCACGCTCTGAACCTTGGCTATTCAAGCGCTGAAACAATAAATTCAGGTAATTTGTAAATTACACAAACCCTCAGTATTTCTTACCAGAAACTAAGAAGCCACATGGGTTCGGCCTAGGTGGCTACGCACATTCCACAAGCTCTTATCCCCTAAACTCAACAACAGATTTGCACAGAGAATGATCCTAGCCGGCCCGCTGGGTCATGCGGATTCCATGAGAGAACCCCCAAACAGGGCTCAGAAAGGCTCTAGCGGGGACAGGAGCTCCAGGAGGGCGGCCTCCGAAGAGCAGGGCCCAGGCCTTGGCACATGGACGCTCGGTGCTCCTACTGTGAGCCCCCTTCGTGGGCTGTCATAAGGACAGTCCCAGCTCAGTCCCTGCAGTGTCCATTGACCTGCGATCCCTTGTGTGTGACCCACGACCACACTTCTGTGCAGCAGGTGGTGAGAATCGCAGGAAAATGCCCACAAGAGCTCAGCACAGTGCTGACGCGGGGCGAGCACCCACCATATGGAAACACACACTCACAGGCCGAGAAAAATGAACACTGACGTGAAGGGAAAATCACCCAGGGCTCCTGGAAAGACCCAGCCAAAGCCACTTTTCAGCCAGCTAAGGAGGAGGTGGGAAGACTGAGGATTCCAACAGGAACATAACGCGGGTGTATGGCCTGCCCACCCCCACCCTCTGTCACCGGGAACCCCCACGATGGCTGCTGCTTCCAGTTCGGAGGAGCCAAGGACCCCAAGGGTCCAGTCTGCACCACTGCTTACCCAGGGCAACATTCCGGAAGTTCTCTCGCTTGATGTCCCAAAAGAGTTCCCTCTGAGCAGGGTCCAGAGAGCCCCATTCTTCCCGGGAGAAATAGAAGGGAATGTCTCCAAATGTCACAGGTCCCTAGAATGAGGTCAGAAACAGAAACAAAAACAAACCACCTGGCTCAGAACTGTCACTCTGGAGCATCCCTGGGGTTGGGGGACAGGATGGGTCCAAGCAGAGCCAGGAGAGCCGGGAGAGGCCTTAATGAAAAGACAAGGTCCATTTTAGGGACTCAAGATGGCAACGAGGGCCTCAGAGGGGACAAACGGACTGGTAACTCACGTGGGCCTCAGAGGCAAAGCAGGTGTCGGCTGTCTCTCTGGTTCTCCCTTCTTTAAGAGCGGGAAGCTGGGCTGAAGAAGAACAGAGGCTCACAGACGCCAGCCCGGGCCAGGAGTGAGATCTCACACGTGTACATGCACACGCATCCCTAGGCTTTCTGGAACAGAAATACCCTTCCTGCTACCCTCAGCGCAAGGCTCAGGAAGGAGCCAGGCCCCTGCCCAGCAATCTGGGGCCTACAAGCTTACTTACCACCATAGCTGCGCTGCTCCCAAGGTGCAGGTAGCCAGCTTCGCGCCCCCACCTTCATGCAAAGCCCCCTGGCCTGGGGTCCCTGGACCGTAGCCTCGGGTTCCACCTCCTCTGAGGGCACTTCCTGTGCAGGGACCACAACATGCTCATCAGCACCGAGACCGGACGGGGGAGACAGAGCTTAATCCCTGGGAAGGAGACACAGGACACGTCCCTCAGGACGTGGGGAAGGAGATCCGCATGGGGTCCCAGAAAAATCCAGGGGAGAAGGTGACACCAGGCAGTGCTGTGTGCCCAATCAAGCACGAGGCAAGAAGAGCTCCCCAAGGCCAAATCACAGAGACCCTGAGTACGGGGGTGTGGGGGCAGACCTCCACAGCCAGGGCGGAACACCACACCCCAGCCACTCATTAGCACCTTCCCCAAGGTCAAGAATCCAACACCCCTCAGAGAGCAGGGTTCACACGGACAGCTGCCTTCTCATACCCACTCTGCTGCTCTCATTACACATGACTATATCCCTAGGGCCTGGACTACAGCAGAACACTGTATTTGTAGAACCAGCGTGGAGCTCAAACCGCCCACTTTGGTCCTACTGGGACCACCCTCCAAAGCCACCAAAAAGAAACCAGATTCATTTGGACGGTGTCTTTCAGAAAGGCAACACCTGTATGACACGCTCCTGTTGCTGCTTCCTCTGGCTCTGCATCACCACCACCCCTGGAGTACTTGTTTCTACGGAGACGGCCACCATTCTGCAGCCAGGTGCCAGCCAGGTGCTGGCTTACCTGTGGCCATGCTTTCACTGGCTGCTTCTGCAGGACCTCCACCAAGGCAACGGCCTCCTCTCCACTCCCTGGACACCGCTCTCGGACCCAGCCCTGGACGCCTCCGGGCAGCGCGCTCAGGAACTGCTCCAGCACCAGCAGCTCCAGGATCTGCTCCTTGGTGCGCAGCTCTGGCCGCAGCCAGCGGCAGCAGAGCTCCCAGAGCTGGCTGAAGGCCTCATGGGGCCCGCCCACATCCCTGTAGCAAAAGTGCCGAAAGCGCTGGCGACAGGCCTCGGAGTCCCTGCTATCCTCTTGCCGGGCAGAGTCCTGCTCCCAGGAGGAATCTTCCACCTTGACGATCAGCAGCCCCTCTCCCTCCCCCGGGGCCTCATCCTGAGGCTCTGGGGGTGCTGCCATTCCCCTGGTCTAAAGCTCAGGACTGGCTGGCCTCAACCTGGGCCTGGGAACCTGCCCTTCAGTCTCCCAGAGGGATCCCCTGTGGCAGCCGGGTGGGCATCTGGACAGGTACTCCTGGGAAAAGAGCAAAAGGTGGGGGTCAGGGGGGGAATACATAAGCAAACACCAGCCAGCCTGCTCCTGTCCTCTCCTGGCTCTGAAGTCTTCTTTAGGCCTTGCTCATGTGACTCTCTGTGCTACCAACACATGTCTACAGTCCCTTATCCTCAGCTTTGAGATCCAAAACTCCCAGGTGTTCACTACCTGGCCTACTGATATGACCACATTCATAATCTCCACTTATCTCCCTCAAGGTAAATGTTTGTATATCTTACAGCAAAAATATTTTATGTATCTCTTCAGGTTGTAAATATTCGCCAAGTTGTACTTACCATGTATTTCTGTATGTGTATTACACTTAAGTAAAAAATAGAATTAACACATTGGATGACTGAGTGTTGCTGTAGGCTCCTCTGGTGAGGTTGCTTGATATACCATGTGTGCTAGATTACCTTCCTCAAATCTGAAAACTTCTGAATTTCAAGACATCTTGGCCCTGGGGTATCGGCAAAGAGCTCACAGACACCAGGCTAAGCCATTTATCCACAGGTACATACGAATGAATGACACATATTTATACCTTCCATCGATACTCCCAGATAGCCCTGAAAAGTATGTATTTTGAAATTTTCCTCAATTGCTTTTTTCCAACAAAAAAGTGAAACAGAGCGTTATAATAAAAAGTGGGGGATTTAAACAACACAGAAACATAAAATAGAAGCTCCCTTCCAAAGGCAGTTGCACACACACACACACACACACACCCATTAACAGTATGACATGTGACCTCCTGGACTTTTCCCTGTCCATTTACTGGAAATGTATCCATAGGAACGGGGAAAACCAAGTGGTTCTGTGTGCTTACAGAAATGAGGTCTTACTGCACTTACTATTTTGTATCTTGCTTTTCCACCTAACAATGTTTCTTCATTAGCCGCTCTGGGAGATTCCAAGGTGTGAATGCGCTCCAGGTTCTTACCCAAGCGAGGCACCCAGCTTGTTTCCAGTCCTTCTCTACTACACACTAAGCACTTTATTTACTTTATTCTCCTACTCCTCACAACACCCCTGAAAAGTACGCGCTCCATTCTCATCCTCCAGTGACCGAGGAGAAGGCTCCTTTCGGAGAGGGCCCGGGACTCACCAGGGTCCCTCGGCAGGACGCGGCGGGCGGGAACGCGGACCGGCCGGAGCCCGGCGCTCCGACCCCAGCAACCTCGCCAGCGCGCGGCTGAGAGGCGACGGGCGGGTAAGGCGGGCGCAGGCAACCCCACCCCCGGCGCTTCCTAGCAGCGCGCGCCCCCTTCGGCCTCTGTCTCGGGGCTCCGGCCCCTACCTCCCGGAGCCCTGCGCCCGACCTCGGAGCCCGCAGCCCGCGTCGCCGGTCCCGCCCCCGAGATACACACCGCCCACAACTACCCAGGGGTTCCTAGTTCCGTCGCCAGGTTCTTGCGCCGGAAGTTCGCGCGGGGCTCGCCGGGAAACGACATAGCGCATGCGCCGTAAGAAGCACTCGAACTACACGCCCCAGGAAGCCCTTCGCCCATTGAGTCCGCCTTCTTCCTGACGGATAGCCAATGAACGGGGAGAATTCCCAGAGTTGGCCAATCAGGAGGTAGCAGCGCCCACCTATGTCCCCGAGCTGAAGTCAGCTTCTAAACTCGTATTTTCATATTTCTCTGCCCTCGCCCGGTCGGTGAAAGGCGAAAAGGGAAAGCCATGGCTGGTCTGGTGGGCCGAGAAGGCATCTGGCCCAGCCACGAGTTGAATGCGCGCGGCTCGGCTCCGGGGTACTCCTCTCCAGCTTCTTGAGTCCCGTCCTCGCCGAAGTCGTTAGCCGCGCCTAGCGGGGCGTGGAGCTTCTTGGGAAATGCAGTCCCGCGAGGGACGCGGAGGCTCCTGCGGCGATCTTCGCACCCGAGCCTCGGCGGGGGCGTTGTGGCAGTACGCCACACGCGGTCACCCTGATCCCGGGGAGCCCCCCCGGTCTCCCACCAGCAGCTTCGTCTGCGGGGCGGTGGGGGAGCTCTGGGTTCTCCTTCCCATGCATTTGTACCTGCTCCCACACTCTTACTTCTCTACCTGGAGATCTAAGGCTGTATTTCTATATAAGGCTATCTTATTTATACCTATCTATATATAGATATATATGAGGCTATATATATCTGTATTTCAGGAAATACATATTTCCTGAAATATAAAGCGGTGTCTTTTGATTTGATTATGCAAGTATTGCATGCCTAGTGTAGAAAAAATTAAGTACGGGAAATTATAAAGCTATCTGTATCCACAAACTAGCACCCTCGATGTGCTCAAATGTCGCTCCCTCCAACTGGCTTTCCCTAAGCCTATGTGACCAGCCTCCCACCATGCTTCTGCCCTACCTTATTTTTCTCTTTTATCACTACCTGACATACTTGTGTAATATCTGTCCCCCAGTACTAGGCTGTAAACTCCGCGAGGTCAGCGTTTTCACTGCCCTACTCCTAGCATCTGGATTTGTGCCTGGCACAGTATTTGCTAACTGAAGGCAAAAATAACTGGAGGTAAAAATATATTCCTATTAAGGCCATTCAAAAGTGAGCATTAATATTTTAGCCTGTTAAAACACTTCTACCTCTATGAATATTTCTAGTGTAATTTTGGAATAATTCTATGGTAAGTAATGTTTTGTTGACACAAAAGTCTATCAAGGATATCTCTATGGCTCCTGGGTCTCCCTTCAGTCAGATCATAATCCCAGAGTCCTGGAATTGAGCCCTATGTTGGGCTATCTGCACAGCGGGGGAGTCTGCTTCTTCCTCTGCCTGCCACTCCCCCTGCTTGTGCTCTCTTTGCCAAATAAAATGTTTTTTTATTTACTGCAAGGGGAGCAGTAGAGGAAGAGGGAGAAGCAGGGTCCCCACTGAGCAGGGAGCCCAATGCAGGGCTCAATTCCAGGACGCCAGGCTCATGACCTGAGCTGAAGGCAGACGCTAACCATCTGAGCCACCCAGGCACCCCAATAAATAAAATCTTAAAAAAAATAAAAATGGTATCTTTCTGTATCAGCATGCACAAATAAAATGCAACTGTTTTGCAGGTTGCATAGTATTCCATAGTATCGACGTTCCAAATTTTATTTTATTTTATTTTATTTATTTATTTATTTTTGAAGACTAGGGACGCCTGGGTGGCTCAGTTGGTTGAGCCGCTGCCTTTGGCTCAGGTCATGATCCCAGCGTCCTGGGATCGAGTCCCGCATCGGGCTCCTTGCTCTGCGGGGAGCCTGCCTCTTCCTCTGCCACTCTGTCTGCCTATGCTCACTCTCTCTCTCTGACAAAAAAATAAATAAAATCTTTTTTTTTTTTTTAAAGAAGACTTTATTTACTTGTCAGAGAGAGAGTGCACAAGCAGGCAGAGTGGCAGGAAGAGGCAGAGAGATCCACACTCCCGGCTGAGCAAGGAGCCCAATTTAGGGCTCAAGCCCAAGAGCCTAGGATCATGACCTGAGCCAAAGGTAGCTGCTTAACTGAGTCACCCAGGCGTCCCCCAAATTTTATTTAAAGTTCCTTACTCTGGGTCATTTAGAAGATTTCCGGTTTCCTGTATTTGCAAGTCATTTATACAAACACCCACCTTCCAACATCTGCTTTAACAATTTGCTGGAGGGCGTGAGTCAAGACGGTTCCGGGACCACTGCTGAAGTGGATGCTCCTACGCTCCCTCTGCTGGTCCCCTGGAAAACTGCACTGAAAAAAGGAACTTGACAGTCCCTTTTTAACGAGGTGTGGACTTAGAGCGTTCTTCTGTCGCCCTCTATTGGCAAAGGCTAACATCAAGATGGCTGGCAAAAGAGAAAGGCTCTAATACCACAAAGCGGGAAAAATGTGTGTATTGTGGGCTGAGAAATAATAAATTAATAACTGGCACATTTACCATATATTTTATTGGCCAGTGCCAGTAAATGACAAGTTATTTGCATTCAATTACATGGAAACTGACCACCCAACAGTACTTCTTTTCTTTTTTTTTTTTTTTCCTTAAAGTATTTATTTTTCTAGCTAGGAAATATAATCTATAAATAATGAAAAAGTCTAATTTTTCCTTCTGGAAAATTTATATTCATTTCCAGAATTTGTACTCATTATTTTCTTAGTACAGAATTCTCTAAACAGTGTAAAAAATTGAGGACAACAGGCATCACTCTCTTGCTTCATGAAAATACTTTTAATGATTTACAATTACTCATTGTGTCTCTGATATATATCCATGCTCATATTAAGGAACATTTATTCTCATTTGCAGCAAAAGAATACTAGCTATTCCCTAATATCACTTTTCTCCTATAGTAAGAATTTTTCAACAGGCACATAGCCATTCGGAATAAGGAGTAGGGGTGCCTGGGTGGCTTAGTCGGTTAAACTGTCTGCCTTTGACTCAGGTCGTGATCTCCGAGGTCCTGGGATCGAGCCCCATGTAGTGCTTCCCACTCAGCAGAAAGTCTTCTTCTCCCTCTCCCTTGCCCCTCCCTACCCCAGCTTGTTCTTTCTCTCAAATAAAGTCTTTAAAAGAAAAAAAAAAAAAAAAAGAATAAGGATTTCCCAGCCTCTCCTGCAGCTAAGCATGGCCATGTAATTAAATTGAAGGTGATGAGATGTGAGCAGATGTGATATATGTATTTTACTAGAAAGGGATGGGTCCTGTCTTCCTATTCTCTTTTTCCCAGGTGCTAATAGGAATTTGGACATAGTGGCGTGGACCATGCAGACTTAAGTAATACCCAGAGGTATCGAAGCAGTAAGGCAGAAAGTGCCTGGACTCCTGATGATTGTGGAGCCACCGAACTAGGCCTGGGTTTATACCCAGGCAGTGACGTGAGAAAGAAATAGATACCATGTTTAAACTTCTGCTGTACTGAACATCTATTACAACCAGAGTGTATACCCTAATGAGATTACTGCCTAGTAAGAGGGGTTTTTTTGTGGGGTTTTTTTTTTGTTGTTGTTGGTTTTTTTTTTCATTAAAAATAGAATACAGCAGTGCCTGGGTGGCTCAGTGGGTTGGGCCTTTGCCTTTGGCTCAGGTCATGATCCCAGGATCCTTGGATGGAGCCCTAAGTCAGCCTCCCAGCTAAGCAGGAAGTCTACTTCTCCCCCTCACTCTGTCCTTCCCTCCCCCGGCCCCGACACTGTGCTCTCTCTCAAATGAATAAACGCAATTTTGAAAAAAATAAAGCAAAAAAAGAACATAAGGAGCACTGCATGGGCTCAGTCAGTTGAGCGACCAATTCTTGGTTTTGGCTCTGGTCCTATCATAGCATTGTGAAATCAGCACAGCATCGGTCTCCGTGCTTGGCATGGAGTCTGCTTGGGATTCTCTGTCTCCCTCTGCCCCTTCCACTTGTGCTCACTCTTTCTCTCTCTTAAATAAATAAGCTTTAAGGGGCGCCTGGGTGGCTCAGTGGGTTAAAGCCTCTGCTTTCGGCTCAGGTCATGATCCCAGGGTCCTGGGATAGAGCCCCACATCGGGCTCTCTGCTCAGCAGGGAGCCTGCTTCCCCCTCTCTCTCTGCCTGCCTTTCTGCCTACTTGTGATCTCTGTCAAATAAATAAATAAAATCTTTAAAAAAAATAAAATAAATAACCTTTAAAATATAGAGCATAGGGGCGCCTGGGTGACTCAGTTGTTAAGTGTCTGCCTTCAGCTCAGGTCATGATTCCAGGATCCTGGGACTGAGCCCTGCATTGGGCTTCCTGCTTGGTGGGAAGCCTGCTTCTCCCTCTCCCACTCCCTCTGCTTGTGTTCCCTCTCTCGCTGTGTCTCTCTCTGTCAAATAAATAAATAAAATCTTTTAAAAAACAGAACATAAAAATAATTATTTTTATAATTTCTCTCGTGGGATATTAGATATTCAGAATTTCCTTGTCATCCTGACTACACTTTGGTAGTTTCACTTTTCTAGGAAATCATCCCTTTCATCTACAACTTCAGACTTATTAAGATAAAGTTGTACGCAGTATTCCCATTTGGTTTACATTTAAAAAACCAGCATGTATGAAAATCCTACTCCTTGTTTTGGGATTATGAGATAGCATTTGAATGGTGGTGCAGCAGCAGGCTAAGAAGAGCCAGGGTCCCTGTTGACTTTGTGGGTTCGGGCTGCCACACCAGTTCCACCACAAGCTGCCTAGCTCTCTAATATTTGTAGTGGAACTGAATCCTGATTCACTGACTCACAGGGTTGCTATAAGGATTATGTAAACGAGCCCAGCACTAACTCTTACATGCAGGAAGAGCTCAGTAGTGAGTGCTTAGTCCCAGGGAGCAAGGCATCGCCAGGAACCTGT